TTCGTAGTTAAATATTATATTAGTGTAAACACCACACAAATTTTTTTTAAAAAAAGTTGTGCTTAGTGAAAAGTTGAAGTATTTATTTATTTATTTTGTTAAAACCATTGTCGTAACAGAGATTAATTGGATAAGCAGGAAGAAATATCATAGAGTAAGAAATGACAAGGATAATTAATAATCGATAAACAAAATATTTCGTAAAATGCCTATCATTAAAAAATATTACTATTATTATAATTATTGCCTCTTTTATAACGCATTCAAATATTTTCTTTACTCACGATATTCTTCGTGTGATTTCATATCTAAGATAATTTTTTAGAAATGAAAGCTGTAGGTATTTTTCACTAGATAGGATTTGACGTTATCAGTGGGTGTCTTCTGGGTTGTAGCGCGATGTAGTCTGGTAAAAGTTTACCAATATTTTACAGATCCTCGCTGTCTCTATCATCAGGGCAATGACCCTCTAAAATATTGGTAAACATCAGACTACAGGGTGCTATAACCCCGAATACAACCATGTTCCTAGCAGTCGCCGGGTTACAAACTTTATTTTACAAAAGACGATAACTTTTACAACAGATTACAGTGGTCGTAAAGCTGTAGAGAACATCATTGGTGAAAAATGACAAGACACTAAACAGAAAAGGTATATTTGTAAACATTGTCTTATTTCTATCCATTTTATTGAAAGACCGTAGGCGTTATTTATTTATTAAATTGTTTACAATATCTATTATTATTTATAATAACTGAAATCTAAATTACTGTTTAATACTTATATTACGAAGTTTGTTATAATTACATTAAAACATGAATAAATGAGATTTTATTTGAGATATTTTTACTGCTGTTGTGTGATAAGAGCAAAAATTTCAAACAAAAATATTCTACGTATAAATGATTATATCGCGTCTGTACGGGGTCGTCCGATAATTTGAAAGTCTACGAGATTGACAAGAGAATGGAAAAGTGCAGAAAGTTAGGTTATGATCTCAAACCTGTTCATCTGTCGTATAAAACATGTTTTAAAGTATTCTTGATACTAGTAACTGTCGCGATTACAACACAAGTGGAAGACCCAGTAAATTACCAAGATCAAATTTGGTGTCCAAGTACCATACTTTTTTTTTTGTATTTGATATAATTTTTAATCTTACATTGAAACTACGTCTGTTAAAGAAAAATCATTATGGCAGTCTTATGTAAAGTTTAATGGTGTTGAATACGCTTTACACGTGGATATAAATAAATATATCCTATCCTAATGTCCAACGTAGTGCAATAAATTTATCTGTCCCAGTTATAGATTAATTTAAATTAATTCTTATACACACGAATATGTTTTGTGACTCGCTACGCTAAGTAAAAATATTATTTTCTAAAACTCCCGTATATTACCTATTATTTGTAATTTATACAATTTCAATTTCAATATCTTTTTGTTTCAAACAAGAAACTGCTCGATATATTTAAATGATACATATCCAAATATTTTGGAGATTAATTGTTAATTTTAACTATAATTCCTATGATATGAACCTTTGAAAACATGAGATGTAAGGATATACATCCTCTAAAATTAATTAAATTCGATAAATTTAATTTTATTTAATTTATTTTGAGTTAATCTTTATATATTCTTAATTTATATATTTACTATAAGTCTTGACAGTCTACTTTAATTTAATAGCACCAAACGCAGCGATAAAAGTGAAGATAATGTTTAAAGTAACTTTTAAGTCTTCATGATTTCACAGGTTCTTGTGCAAAAAGAC